AGTTTTCCCATAATGGATGGTTTTCAGGGCACTGCCATCCCAACCCAGTACAGAGCCCCTTTAGTCCTGCCGCTCACCACATCTCTCCCACACTTGGTTCTCTGGCAGCTCATCTGAGCAACACTGAGGTACAGGCGAAGGGCCCCCCATTGTGAGGGTGGAAACGCTGCCCAGGAGCAGCCCTGCCAGGCAGCCTGCAGGGTGCTGGGTGGGGGGCACCCTTTTTCTCTTCCCTGGGGCCAAGTGGAGTCAGGTTCCACCTGAGGCTTTAGGGGAACATAGGGGGGCTTTCAGGGATATGGTAGGGCTGGTGCTTCCCACTCAGGCTACCACCCACTGCTCTGTGGATCGATTTGTCTTCAGCCCATTAGCGGGGGCGGCAAGGCCGCCTCATCAATATTTTAAGGAATGACCTGGCGGTGGGGTCCGGAACTGCGTGCCGGCGGGGGCTGACAACCAGCCTCTTTTTCCCTTTTCCAATTGTCAGTGCTATTTTTACCTCCGGAAGGCCAGCCGCCCCCTCCCCCCAGCGTCTAACTGGAAGGGGGGCTGTCCATCGGCTGGTTTCCTGGCAGGGGGTATTAGGAGAGTCCTTGGCTTGAAAGGCTATAGGAGACTCTTGATCAGGCTTCCCTACCCACTCAGTAATTCCCTGCCCCACCTCCCTGAAGCCCCCTCCCATCCCATGGAAGCCCAGGGGAGATGGGAACAAAAGCCATTTTCTCCCGGAAAAACCAGGCAGCTCAGCTGAGCCTGGAAAACCCCAGGGTAATGGATTGGGAGCTGTGGTCTGCCCACCCAGGCCCCCCTAGGGGATCAGCACCAGGTGGGCTCCTTTTGCCCCCAGCCCCAGTCTATAGAGAAGAAACCTGTGAAAGTGACAGGCAACCTCCTGCCTGCCCCCGGTCCTGATGGGGTGACAGTGAGCTTCCAATCTTTAGTGAGCAAGGGATGTCACTGCTGCATCACAGTGGTCCTAGGGACCACCATTCCACACCCCCAATTTATTGTTGGGGGAGCTGAAGCCTGGGGAAACAGTGCCAGGCCTGGACCAAGCTCAGCTCTCCTAATACCTGTTCCTGTGCGTCCCGTACTGACTCAGCAGGTGTTCTCTGGCCTCTGAGGCCACAAGAGGAGAAGTTGGGCCCACAGGGGGACCAGTGTGGGGGAAGGCCTGAAAGAAGAGAGGGCTTACCCTGTCTAAAAGGCCAGATGAGGAAGGTGATTCAGACAGGAGAAGGACAGGGCAAGACTGCACAGGGGAGCACCCAATGCCCCCTTTGGTCAGCCCCTATGGTGCTGAGGGTTGGGCTGAGTTCACCCACCCTGCTTATAGCACCCCTGGGATTCCTTCCCCTGAAGTTCTGCATCTCCCATATCTGAGTCCGTGGTCACCTACAGGATGGCCAAAGGCTCTGATTGGTTGTGGATCACACTGGCTGATCCCTGGAGAGGCCTGGAAACACCTCCTGCCTCCAGCAGGCAGTTAGGGGAGTCCTTGCCCTGCCTGTGAGTGCACGTGGATTATAACACTTTAGGGACCCCTCCTGTGCTGCTTTTCCACTTCTAAAGTGAAGTAACTGAGGCCCCGAGGTTGGAGTGGTGGCCATTGTCACTTACCCCAAGAGCATGGAGTCAGGCTTCGAGCCACAGTCCTGTACTTGATCTCCCCAGTTCTGGTCCCAAGGGCAGTTGGGGCCAGCACACTCTTGCCCCTCCCAGGAATCCGCTTCTCTGCAGCTTGCAGCCTCCTCTTTGCCAAGAGCCAGATTTGGGCCTCGGTCTCTCATGTGTCACTCAGGTATGGGTCTCCCCACCACCCTGCTCAACCCCTGCTACTTCTTTGTAGCCCCAGCTGGATCCAGAGGACACTGAGGGCTGCCATGCTGGGCAGGCCTGTGGGCTCCTGGCCAGCCAGCAAAGTGGGGGGATCAGGGCAGGCCCCACCTCTCAGTGCTTCCCAGGCTGGCCCTGCCTACAATACAGCCACAGCCAACAGATCCTTGGCAAATTTCTTCCCGAGTTTCACCTCCACCTCCAGGGAGGGCAAGCCGGGACCCACCCTGTGAAAGACCTGACCTTCCATCCTGGCCCTTCTCGCTGCCAGGATATTCCCAGTTAGCAGGAAGAGGAGGGAGGGACAGGGATTGATGCCGAAGGACGTGGCACTGGGACTGACTTCCTCCCTGCCCCATGTGGGGAGTTATAGTTGGTGCTGGCTCCAGTGCTCCCCTTCCCAGGCTGCATGCCACCCAGTGAACCCCTCGCAGTGGTTTTATTGGTATTTCCAGGGGGAGCGGTGACCACTGTGGGTAGCACTGCCTTGCTGGATAAAGGTGCGGACTTGGAGCACAGGAACAGGCCCCTTAGGCTTTGCTGCAGGGCTTCATCGCCACATCCTCCCCTATGTCCTCCTCTCTTCAGGCCCGGTCAGGCCAGGCCATGCACTCGGCTCTCCTTCCCTGGCGGCCTTGGTGATGGTGGCAGATGCATTCCCACCTCCACCTCCATTCCTGGTATATGACTCAGGCCTGGCTTCTGCCCCCCAAGGGGTGCCTCTGCCAGATGGGGAGATCAGCATGGAAACAGACACCTGAAGCGCCTTGCACATGGCACCTTCATAAAGAGATAAAGGACTATGGGAACTCAGAAGAGCTACTGTTGCTTCCTGGGTGATGGAGGCTGGGGAAGGTCAGGGAAGACTTCCTGGAGGAAGTGGCCCCGGATTAATTATTGAAGGATGAGTTGGCATTAACCAAATGAAGGAAGAAGAAGAGCAGGGCAGGAAAAAAGTTGTACATGAGTTAATGGGTGCCTTAGCCCACACTGTCCCCCAGCCCTTCCCCCATGCCCTGATAAGTCCGGCTCCAGGTTATTGGGTACAGGGAGTTCACTCTTCTTCCTTTTTGTTCACCTCTTTCATGAAACCTTTCGAACTCCCTGCTCAGTTCTCCCCCAACTCCAGAGCAGGAGTCTCTGAGGAGACCTTCTGGTTTGGAAAACTTCCTTGGAGCTAAATGGCTGGTTGCCTCCCTGGGGCTGTCCTGTGTTTATTGACTTGAATCAATGGCCAAAGGTTGCCCCGAGATGAGAGGGAATTCCCATGGAGCCCCATGGCCCAGGGCCCCACAGGTGATCTCACAGAAGTGGGGCGGCTATTTTTATCCAGTGTTTAATTACAGTTTGGCTCCTAGAGAGAAATGAGCTGGTGCTCCCAGGAGCTGTGAGGGAAGGGCCATGCCGGGAAGGGGGAGCATCCAGGGAGGGCAGTGGGGGATGACTGACCTCCTGTCTCAGTTCCCCTAACACTGGAGTGTCCCCCCAGATGGGGGCAGCCCAGGGTAAGACAGAGCCACACCACCCCCACTTATTATCCATCACCCGGGCCTAGGGAGGTGGTGCAGAAACACAGGGGGCTGTACCGGTGTTCCTGAGGGTGATGGCCACATTGGGGGACGAGGAGGCAAAGCCTCCACAGGACTGGGCATATAGCTGGATCATAGCTTGGTGCTCCAAAGTGACGAAGGATGGGGTTCTGGGGTGGGAGGAGGACACTGGAGTGAGCTGGGATTCCCATAGTGGGACCTGTTCAAGAAGGTCAGACTTGGACAGGGAACAAGTTTGGAGGGAACAAGTTTCCAGGCGGTGGGAATATGGTAGAGTTTGCAGGCCACTGTCATCACAGTTTACTGAGGGAAAGAAGTGTGACAGCACAGAGCCTTTGTTGCCAGCCCCCCCAAAATGGACCTGTTTATGGAGTGACCCCTGAGTTTCAGGATTGGGGGAATAATTCCTGTCTGTCACAAACAAGCTGTGTGCCCTCAGGCCCATAAATCCTGCCTGAGGATTTACGCAGTGAGAGCTGTGACTTGCCTGGTGTGCTGATTACATTCATTTGTTCATTCACTCTTCTGCTGTTCACTGAGTACCCACCACATGCCCAGCACTGGGAAACAACCACTTCCACCAAACCCCTGCATCATGGAGCTGGCGTTCTCAGGGGAAGGGCGGTGTGGGGTTGGCAAGGAATAAGCACTGTGGAGAAAAATAAGCAAAGGTCACGGAGAGCGCCAGCACTGGGCGGAGCAGGAGCACTCCTCAGTAGAGTGATGCCCAGGGAGGGCTATCCGACAAGATGCGTGAGCAGAAACCTGAAGGATGTGAGGGAGTTTGGGGAAAGAACAACGCTGGCAAGTACAAAGGCCCAGGGGTAGGAAATGACCAGCATGCTTTTCTTATCAGCAAGAAGACAGATGTGGCCAGAGCAGAGTGGGCAGGGAGAAGAGTGGCAGGAAATTCTCCTAAGAGGGAAATGGAGGCAAAGCATGCGAGGTCTTGGGGGCATGGGTAGGGCTTTGGCTTTTACGCTCAGTGAAATGGGAGCCATGGCAGATTTTGAGGAGTGGAGCAACTTGATCTGTTTTATGTTGTAGACATCATGACTTAGTTCCTGGGACAGACCGTGGGGTGGGGGCAGGAAGAGACCAGTAAAGAGGCTGCTAAGAGTTACTGGCCAGAGAAGAGGTGATGTGAGTCCTGGAACAGCATCCTGGAGGGCAAGGCATGGACAGGTTGGGTTCTCAGCATATTGCAAAAGCAGAGTGAAGAAGATTGCCCAGAATTCCACCAGGCTTTGCAGGCCCTCAGAGAGGTTACTGAAGGAAGTGAGGTGACTGCAGGCTCACGGGGACCCCACTTCACAGCACATGGCATCCAAGCCACCTTCCCCAGCGCCTGGAATGGCCTTGATACTGCTGTTTGATGAGAGTGCACGCAGACACACTTCCCAGCAATGCCCACGTCCTCCATTCCTATCCTGAGGCGGCTCCAACCAGCTGCATATTGTAGGCCCCCCACCCACCCACGCAGGGATGCGCAGAGCCCCTGGGCACCCTGGGGAGGTGGGAGGGAGGGACAGGTGGGCCCGCTGGTCAGAGGTCAGGAAGTCACTGGCTCTCTTCTCTCCTGCAGCCGCAGGGGGCTGCGATGGGCCGGGAGCCATGAATGGTGCCGCGCCCTGTCCCGCCACCGCCCCGGTACCCGACTGGCGGCAGTTCTGTGAGCTGCACGCGCAGGCGGCCGCAGTGGACTTCGCGCACAAGTTCTGCCGTTTCCTGCGGGAGAACCCCGCCTACGACACGCCCGACGCCGGGGCCTCCTTCTCCCGCCACTTCGCCACCAACTTCCTGGACGTCTTCAGCGAGGAGGTGCGCCGCGTGCTGGTGGCCGGGCCGGCGCTCAGGGGGGCGGCGGGGCACCCCGACGCCATGGAGCCCGAGGCCGCGGCACCCCCGGCGCTCAAGGCAGCGTCGTACGGCCACTCGCGGAGCTCGGAGGACGTGTCGGCGCACTCAGCGGCCAAGGCCCGCGTGCGCAAGGGCTTCTCCCTGCGCAACATGAGCCTGTGCGTCGTGGACGGGGTGCGAGACATGTGGCACCGGCGAGCCTCGCCCGAGCCCGACGCCGCCCCGCGGGCGGCCGAGCCCCCGTCCGAGTCGCGCGACAAGTGGACACGGCGCCTGCGGCTGGCCCGGACGCTGGCGGCCAAGGTGGAGCTGGTGGACATCCAGCGCGAGGGCGCGCTGCGCTTCATGGTGGCCGACGACGGCGCCACGGGCCCCGGGGGCGCCGCGCAGTGGCAGAAGTGCCGCCTGCTCCTGCGCAGGGCCGTGGCCGGCGAGCGCTTCCGCCTGGAGTTCTTCGTGCCGCCCAAGGTGAGGGGAGGCCGGCGGCTGGGTTGCCAGGGGCTTCTTGGGGGAAGGCATCGCCTGGTCTGGCTGGCCGGAACTGGTATTCGGTGTCAGGAATCTGGGCTGTGCTGCCTGCTCTACCTTTGTCACCTTCCAGCCCGGGTTCTTCACCTGTGCAATGTCAGAAGGGCTGTCTGGCCACAGGAGGGGGTCTGGGGTGCTGTTCTTGGTGTTCTTTGGGGAGTCTGGCTGCCTGCCCTTTTCCTCTTCACCTGGGGCCCCTTGGTGGCTGGAACCTCCCACTGTAAGGGTGACTTGGGGGAATAGGGGACGGGGAAGGGGATTGGGATGAGGTTGGGGAGTGGGGAGAATTCCCTCAAGGTCTATGCCTGACTGGGTGGGAATCTGCATGTCTCCATCTTGTCTGCCAGGCTGTAGTCCAGGCCTTACCCGGATTGCCTTTGGCCCGGCTTTCAAAAGTCAGACTCCCCTTAGCTGCCCCCAACATTGCTGCTCACCCAAGTGTACCTCCTGCTCCTGTCCTCATGGCTTCGCCATCAGAGCCCTGGAGGCAGCTTTGACTGTCTTCCGAGATGACAAAGCTGCCTTGCTTGGCAGCCAGGGATAACAAAGAGTAACTTGCTTGCCAAGGCCTTCAACCTAGGGGACAATCCCAGTTCCCGACAAGGTGGGCATCATGGTTCCCAGATTAAGAAAACAAATGAACACTCAGAGAGGGGGGGGTGGCCTGCCCAGAGTCACTCAGCTGGTGGGTGGCAGAGCTGGGCTAATTATACCCTCCACCCTGGTGGTCCCAGGAATGAAAGGAGCATGGAGGTGGAGCTTCTTGTGCACTGGGAGGTTGTGCTGGTGCAGCAGCTGGCAGCACCCCCAAGAACCACCCGGCCCCCCACCTACCTCTGGGCCCACTCTGTCCCCGGGTGCCTTTAGTCACCCTGAGTCTCTCGCCTCTCTCCATCTCCCGGTCTGTTGGAGCTCAGGGTACCCGCCTCTTCCCACTGGAGGCACAGGGTGTGGGTCTCCAGGGTTGAGTGTCTGTGAGTGAGGTGACATCCTAAGGATTCACTCTCTAAAGACCTTGATCCCCAAATCCCAAGCCTTCCTGAAGGCTTTTTTGCTTGGCTGGGAGCCCACTGTGAGGGCCCTGAGAGAAATCTGCACCATGAAGTCTGTCCAGGGTCACCTAAAGGGCAGGAGCAGAGGCTGAGGGCTCCCTCCCGGTCCTGAGTGGCAGTCCCAGCTGCCAGCTGTAAATAGCAGTGGCAGTGCCCTCGGGGTGGGGAGGCAGCAGCTGGTGCCTGCTCCATTAGTCTCCTCCCAGCCCACTCCTCACCCCTGGCTGGAGGCAGGGCTCCTGAGAGTCACTGAGCCTCCCCAACCTCTGAGGAAGGCAGAGGAACCCTATCCCCATGGGCCTCAGATCCTCCTGTGTTTCATGCAAATGTCTGTGTATTCAGGAGTGGTCGCCATGGCTAGGGCTCAGGTCTGGGTTTCCCAAATGTGGCCCCAGGGGCACGAGTCCACAGGGCACCCCTGCCCTCACCCCACTGCCTTTTAGGCCTATTTACTCACACACAGTCCAGATAGGGGCTCTTTCCTGGGATCCTCAGACTTCCCCCTCATACCACCTATGAATCAGGTGCCCTCACTCTACAGGCAGAGTCTCCTGAAGCTCAGGTACCCTGTAGCCCTCTACCTGGCCATCCCAGAGAATCCAGGGAGCAATGCAGCTGGTCCCCTGCCATCGAGGAACTGATTTTTTGCAAGGCTGGATGGTAAACCTCAATGCAGTGAGCACTGGGGGCCCAGGACAGCATTTCTGGAGCATTCATGAGCTGAGTATGCAAAGGCTGAGTCGTGTAAATAACCCCAGGGTAATTGGCAACAGTGAGGGACAGCTGGAACAGGGTGAGAAGAGACCAGGCCAGGACAGACAGACCTCAAATGCTGGGCAAAGGAATCAGTACCTCACCAGTGGGAGCCCAGCTGAAATCCCTGGTCCGGGCCTTCACTGCAGACCCCTAGTGCTCTACCCGCTCCAGGACCCTGCCCCTCTGGCTGCTGTGACAGCCTGGCCTGCCGTGGCCAGCCAAGCCCCTTGTCACCACCACAAGCCCAGCCCTGAGCCCACTGGATGGCAGCCAGTGCACCAGGAATTCCCATCAACATGTGGCCCTTCCCTTCCTCTGGAGAAAGTCCCTGTCCCAGAGCCCAAGCCCCTGTTGAGAATCTCAGTCTCAAGCCAATCTTGGGGGCCTTGGGGCATTGGCCAGGCGCCTTAGGACAGAGTGGGGGGCCAGGCACAAAGTCGCCCTTCCCGGGAGTCCCACCAGCTCACCTTGGTTAAACCCCACTCTGGCCCCTTTTCCTCCACCAGGAGACACCCCCTGACCCACCCAGAAGTCCTGATCTGAGCTTTTTCCTGGAAAGACTGTTTTGAAGGGGAAAGCCAGCATTTTTTTTTTTCCCTTGAACTAGAATAGACAAGATCACACCCTGTCACTCACCATCCGGGTAAATGTCTAGTGAAACCTTCATTTCAGAGATGTATTCACCTCTGCGTGTGCTGGGTCAGCATATCAGATGCCCTTCTCACTATGCTCAAGGTCAGAAATGTAAAACCACAGATCTGGTGGGTACACTGGGCAGAGGGGCAGTCTGGGAGGAGTTTGCCCCTCAGGGCTCAGGACTGACTGAGAAATCAGTCCCAGCTCCATCCCTGGCTCGTTATGTGGCTGTTTGGCTCTTGGGGAGGTCTCTGTTACCAAGAAACTCCCTCCACACTTCCCCACTTGTGTGGAGTGCGCCAGGGCTCTCTTACCTCTGGGACAGGTCAGAGAAGAGGTTTCAAGAGACCCTTGTATGACTTACGGCCCCTTCCTTTGGCCTCCCAGGCCTCCAGGCCCAAAGTCAGCATCCCTCTCTCGGCCATCATCGAGGTCCGCACCACCATGCCCCTGGAGATGCCAGAGAAGGACAACACGTTTGTGCTCAAGGTGAGCCCTAACCCCCCGCATCCTTCTGCTGCCCCAGGACACCTCCCTCCAGGGCAGAGCAGTTTACAGTTACCACAGGGGCAGTGAGGGTAAGGGGCCAGCAGCCAGGCATCGCCAGGGAGCTCTAGTGGGGGTGGGAAGTTCCAGGACCCTGCACAGATGGCTAGCTCATAGCTAGGGCCTGTATCTGGGCCTGGGCTCCTGAGCCAAGTGCCCCAAGTGTCCCCATAATCTGCCCTCACCCCACCCCCATTCCCTCTTGGGCCTGGTGGAAGCTCCTCAAAGTTTCACTTCCCTCCCTTCCCCTGCTGGAGCCAGCCCACACCCACCCCACAGGCAGGAACTGGTAGCCAGCCTGCAGCAGTTATGCAAATACTCCTGTCACCGGGCACTGGAGTGTGGGAACCTGTCTGGTCCCACAGAGGGCACAAAGGCGCTGAGGGTGGGCAGGAAGGCACCCCTGTGAGTCTGGGACCAGCTTGTCCTTTTCCCAGGCCACACATCACTGTCACCCGGGTGGCTGCTCCAGTTGCTGAGGACATAGCTCCAGGCTAGGACTGTGACCCTGTGTCTCCTCAAAGGACTAGAGGCCATCTGAGGCCAGGACCCCAAGGAAGCCTGGTTCCCCCAGAGCTATACAAAGCCCCCGCCCTCCTCTTCAGACTTCTGGTTGGATTTGTATTGTTACTTAACCCTATCTGTTTAGTCATGAACTCACATACTCGTTTAACAAACATTTGCCAACCCCATACCCTGAGTCACCCCAGGCTGGGGGCTCAGGATATAGCTCCTCCCGACTGGCATCCTCATCTGCGGGTGACACGGGTTCAGAGTCTGGGTCCCCACAGCTGAGTGGCCATTGTGCTGCTGAGTATGCTCAGGAGCCATGAGGCAGAATGACTCCTGCCAGCTCCAGCCCAGGCCTCAGTTTCCCCATCTGTTCAGAGGGGCTGAAGGTAGTTTCCTAGGCCCCTTCAAATACCGCATTTTAATGGAGACAAGTGACTGAAAGCTGCCAGCAAGCGCCTTGGCATCACAGAGACTAAGTGCTTGCCTGACTAAGTGCTAGACTAAGTGCATTACCTGATGGCTCTGCGCCTCGGTCTTCTCATCTGTACAATGGAAACAACATTACCTCTGTGGGGCGATTGCTCAGCTGTTCCTCGGGTAGATAGGACACCCTGCCTGCCCCTCAGCTGGGACTTTTACCCTCCCCTGCCTCTGGTGCCTGCTTGTCCCAAGGGCCTGGACGCAGAGGGAGAATTCCAGGTACAAAGGCATACGCATCCCCCAACTCAGCTGGCCCACTGGCTGTATCAGGGTTGTGATGCCCTTTTATCCCATCACTGGGGTGAGAGGCAGCATCTTCAGGGCCCGAAGACCTGAGGTTAAGGGGGCTAGCCATCATCCCCGTGACCCCTGAGGTAGGCCCAGGAGGGAGGGACTACATGCTTACTCTGGGACCCTCGCCTTGTTTGAGGTGGTACCTGATGGATCCCACAGTCTTTAGGGCTGCTTACAGCCCCCAGTGGGAAGGAATGAAATGAGCCATTTGCCCTGTAGTTTGGAGGACCCTGGAGGATGGAGAAGTTTGGGGTGTTGATTGTGGTCTGGACCCCCCCACCCCGCGACCCCTTCCCCAGGTGGAGAATGGAGCAGAATACATCCTGGAAACCATCGACTCACTGCAGAAGCACTCATGGGTAGCTGACATCCAGGGCTGCGTGGACCCCGGGTAAGTGCCCAAGTGGCCCCCAGAATGGGTAGACAGGGTGGGCACCTAATAGGGGTGTGCTCTGGGTCCAGCCTTCACAGAGAGTGCCTTCCTGGTGAGGGCAGGAGCTGAGCTTAAGAACTGAGCTTTCCTCATGGTCCTATCTTGGGTGGTGCTGACCAGGATCATTAGTAACCCGCCACCACCGGCTCTGCGAGGCCTGCTCTGCAGGGCCAGGGCCCAGGGAGCTAAAAAAGCCTGGACTAAGTCTTGTCCTCAACCCCAGGGGAGCCTGAGACTCCTGGGAAATGGGCAATGATGGGTTGAGCCCAAAGGGCTGGGGATGAGGGTAGAGGGGAGGGTCCTCCTGATCCAACCCTGACTTGCTTGGCAAGAGAAGCTTGGCAGAGGTGCTCACACTCCTTGAGGCTTGGAGAAGGAGCAGGCCTGAGCGAGGCAGAAGGACTGGGAGTAGGGGAGGACAGAGAACAGTCTTGGTGGTGTTCTGGGACTGTCAAGGCCTCCTGGTAGCTGGAATGAAAGCTGGTGAGGAGGGGGCTTTGATGAGAGCCCAAGAAGCCAGCGGGTCAGGCCCAGGTTGAGCCATTTCTAGTAAAACACAGAGGGCAGCTGTGGCCAGCTGTGTAAGGGAGAGCAGCGGGGAGGCTGGCGGCTCCATCCAGGACAGTTCCCCAGGCCAGGAGTAGGAAAGGCAAGCAGGTTGGCAGGCTGAGCAATTGGCAGCCGCTATTCAGGCTAATGGGGTGAGCCAAACCCAGGGGGTGGGGGTGGGGCTGCAACTTTCTAATTAACAGCTTCATTTAAGGAAGCCCAATTAAGGTCCTGAGTGCCTCCCAGGCCCCCTGATCCCCAAAGCAGTTGTAATGCATCCCCTGCCACCCTCCTAGCCATCTGTTCTTCAAACTCTTTTCCCAGCCCCTATGAAGGTGAACCTCACTCTGCAATATTTCTGAGCTGGCAGGGTCCCAGACATCTTGTGTCACAGGTGGGGAGAAAAAGGCCCAGGACAGGGAAGGGAGCTGCCCAGGCCCTGTCCAACACCAAGCCCTGCCACTCCTGGGGGAGGGGGGTCTCCATGGGACCCCAGGAGGCCACTATCCTTCCTGGGCTGGGGGCAGGGGTCACATGCCCTCAAAGAGGACTGCAGTCACTGGAAGACCTCTTCATGTGACCCTGTCATTCACATGGTGGCCACGGAGCAAGCTGAGGGTGGTGACAGAGGGACGCTAGCTAAGGCCTGACTCCATGAGCAGCCTGTGGTCCGGGGCTGAGTGCCATGGTGGGACATAGTTGTGCTTTCTGGCCTCCGCAGAGACAGCGAGGAAGACGCCGAGCTAACCTGCGCCCGAGGAGGCTGTCTGGCCAGCCACGTGGCCTCCTGCAGCTGTGAGCTCCTGACAGACGGTAAGTGGGGGAAGAGCTGGCCAGGGTGGCAGAGGAAGGGTCGGAGGTGGTGGTGACTCAGAACTGGCCACACATGATTCTTACCTGCACTTCTCCAGCAGCAGACCTGCCCCGGCCCCCAGAGACCACGGCAGCTGTGGTGACAGCCCCACACAGCCGAGCTCGAGATGCCATTGGGGAATCCCTGGTTCATGTCCCTCTGGAGACCTTCCTGGAGACCCTGGAATCCCCGGGTGGCAGTGGCAGCGACAGCAATAATACAGGTGAAGTGAGAGAGCCTGCTCTCCCTGCCCCTCCTGCTTCCACCCCTACCCAGGCCATGGCCCCCTGGCTCCCTCCAAAGCTTTGCCTCTGATATTTCATCCATTGGTCCCCTTGCACAGCACCTCAGTAGTTGTGGCTTTTGTAGGCCAGTCTGGCACATGATTCCTTCCACCAACCTGGCTTCAACAGAAAATGCTCATAGAAAGGGGTGCCAGAAAGAGGGTCAAAACCAGGCATTAGGGGCAAGGAGACTTGATTGTTCCCAGATTTCTTGCTGATTTAGAGAGTGACAGAATAGTCCTCTCTGCCTCAGTTTACCTCATATTCTTAACTAGTGGTTTGGGCCAGCTCCCTGCCTTTTTCTAAAATTATTCAATCTTCATTTTATGTGCAAAACCCCATCAAGACTTTGCATCTCTTCTCTTATTTGTTTGCTCCCCCACACCCTCATGGCCCTCATACTATTATCTCTCTCCAGGGGAGGAGGGTGCAGAGCCAGAGGCCGAGGCTGAACCTGAGCTGGAGCTCTCCCACTACCCCTGGTTCCACGGGACGCTGTCTCGGGTCAAGGCGGCCCAACTGGTGCTGGCGGGCGGGCCCCGGAGCCATGGCCTCTTTGTGATCCGCCAGAGTGAGACTCGGCCTGGGGAGTACGTGCTGACCTTCAACTTCCAGGGCAAGGCCAAGGTAAGTGCACATGGGAGTCAGAGAGGGTCAGCAACCATCCTAGGGGATGGGCTCTGAGGCATCGCTGGTGCTGAGGCTGCACCTGCACCCCAGGAGCAGGTTCCGTGAGCTCGGTGTAGCAGAATTCCCCATGGCCAGGTCTGGCCATGCTCACTGAACCACTGTACTTCCCACATCTCTGTGGGCACCTGTAAGCCCCAGATGTGGAGGCATCTCCCTTACCCCCATGAGGAAGCCAGCCACCTGTTGGTGGCTGAGCACTTGGGCACCCGAGTCCTACTGAGGGTTTCACTTTGACCCTGTGCATTGGGAACCACATAACACCAGGGTTTCGAGGGCCTCCACCCAGAGCCACCTCAGTGCAGGGCTGCGGTCGACCAGGTCTTTCCTGTCCCCCCCACTAAGTTCCTGGGGGCCGATCCCCCAAACAGCACCTCTTGGGCACCTCCCCTCCTGGGCCCCACTGCAGGCAAGGCCTGGGCTCAGGCTGAAGGACTGGGAAGGGGACTGTACACAGGGGGCCCTAGTGAGCTGGGCATTAGGGGACCTGGGGAGACAGAGGAGGTTCCTGATCCCACCAGCCAGAGTAGAAGGCGCCCTTGACCTGAGACGTGCAGTGGGGGGAGAGTCCTTGGTGGGAATACAGGTGGGAAGGGTGAGCCACACAGGACGCTGCAAAGGTGTGGGGTGCCTGCCGGTGGGCTCTCAAGAGCACTGTGTGCTGATAATGACCTACGGCATAAAGGAAATAGGACAGAAAAGTCAAATAAGTGTGTGTGTGTGTGTGTGTGTGTGTGTAGGGGCAGTTACAATGCAGCTACAATGGGCAGGAACCTCAATTCCGCCCCCTCCCATCCTATATTTTCCGATAAGGAAATGGTCCCAGCCCAGGCTCCCAGGACATGGTGCCCCTGAGCTCAGCGTTCTAAGCCCCACTGAGCTCACAGCCCCTCTCTCACCCTGCTCCCTGGGCCTCTCTCCTTGGCAGCTCTTGCCCCACCAAGGAAGAAGCAGCACCTCCCCTGGGACACCTATTTGGAAAGCAGCCACCCTTACAAGTTCCTCTGACAACCAGGCACTTCACGTAGCCCCTGGCAGCCCAAAGTTTATTTCTTGGCCAGCATCACCCCAGGTGGTGTCCCCAGAGGGCCTGGATCTGACTCACACCCAGGTCAGAGGCTAAGATGGTCCCTGCCAGGCACTGTGAGGTATGGTGGGGGGGATGGCAGAAGGCTCCTCTCCCTCCCAGGGCAAGACCAGCCTTGAACTCATTGTGCTGCTGCTCCGTCAGAGTGAAGTAAGTTGTGGAGGGGTAGAGCCAGAACCCCGGATGCCTGCTCAACCACCTCCTGGGAAGAAGCCCTCTACCTCCCGAGGCAGCTCTTTGCACCGTCAGATAATAAATGTCTCAGCAGTTTTATGACGTTTGTGATGCATCCACCCCCCTAGCACCCCCAGCACCCCCAGCTCTGGCCTGGACCTCTGCCCTAAAAGACCCTGCCAGGATTTGAGACTGGTGGGACCCCAGTATGCTGTTCCTCTGGGGCTTAACCCCAACCCTGAATGCCATTGTTCCTAGGATCTGTTCTCATTCTTCTGCCTCTGCCCCAACCCCCAGGGCTTCTGGCCTTTGTGTCAGAAGCTAGACCAGCTCCCCATTGTAGGCCTGGGGCGACATGCTTGCCCTGAAACTCTTCTGTCATTGCCCCTCACCACATGCCTCCCAGAGACAGCCACTCCTCCTCCTGTGGGGTGCACGGGAGTGCTGAGACCAGACACCTGTGGCTCCTTTCCTGCAGGGCCCACCCCAGGAGAGCCAGGTGTCTCAAAACGCAGTGAGAGCACTCCTCCCCAGTCAGCTTTCCGTCCTTCTGGGCCAAGACTTAGGGGACTAGCCTGTGGGGGTGGAGAACCACACGCATATGAGTCTTCCTAGCTCTATGCCCTGTATCTACCATGCCCTCTCATTGCCTCAGTTTCCCCATCTCTTAAATGAGGGCTGCAGTCTCTGCCTTCTAGGGCTTTTGAAGGATTAAAGATAGTGGGCGTGAAGGGCATGATAGGGGATCTCCAGGGGTAGAGACAAATGCTTGCTTCCTTCAGCCCCAACCTGGCTCTGTTGCCCTCGCACCCCACTCCACCACAGGAGTGACTCCCCCCAAGATGGGGCTCACATGTCAGGGGCCACAGTTCTGATGCAACCCCATATGGCCTCTGTGACATTGGTCCTCCCACCCTTGAAGGCATTTACCTAGTAGATGACCAGTCCGGGACTCCCCACTGACCATGCCCACCTGTGCCCACAGCACCTGCGCCTGTCCCTGAACGACCATGGGCAGTGCCACGTACAGCACCTGTGGTTCCAGTCCGTGCTTGACATGCTCCGCCACTTCCACACACATCCCATCCCACTGGAGTCAGGCGGCTCTGCTGACATCACCCTGCGCAGCTATGTGCGGGCTCAGGTCCCCCCACCTGGTAAGATTCCCCAGTGTGATGGCTCGAGAAGACAGGTGGGCAGTGGGGGAGGGGCGTCCCTGGCAGCAGCCACCCAGTAGGGATCCCTGGTGGGGCAAGATGAGGGCTTGGGCAGCCGTAAGCTCTGCAGCCATCAGCAAGGCTGGGAGATTGCCAGCCCCACAGGGAGGCCTGAGTGATTCCTGGCTTGGGGAAGGAGGCGCTGGGACCATGGGGCTCAACACAGAGCTGTTGCAGGAAGGAAGTGTTGGAGGTGCTGGGGTGTCTGTCCAGCGCATGGATTGTGTGCCATCTGCTTGCACTGTGGACCATGCCCATGAGTTACTTATCCAGGGAGGTGGGCTGAGCCAGGATAGCAAAATCCAGGTCCAGGCTCGCTTGTGAACCCAGATCACCCCGTTGCCCAGAATCTCTGCCTGACGTGCTTGGACAGGGGAAGATGGCTGGTGGAGAGGGGGGGTTTGGTGAGGGTGTCCGGGCTCAGCACTGACCTGCCTGGCGTCCCTTTGCAGACCCTGGACCCTTGCCCAGCGCCGCGCCGGTGCCCCCCGCCTGCTGGAGCGAGCCGGCGGGTCAGCACTACTTCTCCAGCCTCGCCACGGCCGCCTGTCCGCCCCCCTCGCCTTCGGAGGCCGGTGGCGCCTCGTCCTCCTCCGCCTCATCCTCCTCTGCGGTGTCTGTTCCTGGGGTCCCGCGCGCCCCCGATGGGCCGCTCAGCGCGCGCAGCCGCAGCAACAGCGCGGAGCGCCTGCTCGAGGCGGCTGGCGGCGCCGAGGAGCTCGCAGAGGCCGGGCCGGGCGAGGGCGCGCGGGGTCGGACGCGCGCGGTGGAGAACCAGTACTCCTTCTACTAGCCGGCGCGAGCCCCGGGGCGCCCACGCGTCCATAGGTCCAGCGGACGCTGCTGGGCCCAGCCTGGCGCTGGGTGGGAAAAGCAACGCTCTTCAGTGAAGACATAAATGTTATTAAAGAGCCTGTTTTAGGGACTGCACCCAGCTCTCCTGTCCTCCTTTCTTGTGCCCCGGCCTGGGGCGAGCAGGGAAGGCAGCGCCAGCTGAGGCTGTGGTGTGGGACCCCTGGGAGCCCACTCTGGCCTGGGACATGCCGGGCCCCCACCCCCCACCTGTCTTGGGGGACTAAACTCCCGATGGGGCAGGGAGGCCACCTGCAGTACCTGAATGAGGCAGAGATAAAGTGCTGGACCCAAGAGCAGGGCTCAGGGTGTCCCCGGAGGGTATAGGAATTGGGGTAGAGGCCTTTTAATGGAACTATGAGCAGAGGCTTGGGGCAGGATGGAGGGATGGGGCAGAACGGAGGAAAGACGATGCAGAAGGGCCTTCCAGGGTCACAGTGAGGAATGGGGAGGGGGAAGTGATGCCTCTGAGAGGGTCTTATTTCTGCTGAGCCAAAGCCCATCTCTCTTCTCCAATCCAGACAGCCTCCCCATGTCCCCACAGGCCCTGGGCCCAGCTACCCTGCAGTGCCCTTGCAAGGCCTATATCTGAGATGTAAGATTCAGCCCCCAGACAGATGATCCTTCTGAGACTACAACTCAGCTTGCCTGCTCGCCCTTCCCCACCCTTGTGGACTACTAGGGCTTTGCTGTGCCAACTACCCAGCTCCTACTCATAAAATGGCCAGCGTTCCTACTGCCTCCACAGTGAGGACTACAAGGTCAGTGCTCAGGGGGCCAGCCTTGCCCTGCTTCCAGCATCTCCGTCTGTGCGTTGGAGCCCCTCTGTGCTCTTACCCCATCTCCTGGTGGTTTGGGGTCTATGCCAGGTGACTGCAGGCCCTCGTCCTGCCCTGACAGGAGCCGAGGAGGGTGTGGGGTGAGGCTCAGGCTAGGGGGAGGGCAAAGGGGCTGCTGGTAAGAGCCCTCGCTGCCTCTGCCTCTCAGATGCAGTCTCCCAACAGACACAACCACCTGAAGACAACTGAACCCCCGAGATCACCGCCAACCCTAAGGCTTCATCCTTGCTCCAGCAGTAGGTTTGCCCCGTGGAAGAGCGCCAAGGTGGCCTCACAGGTGGAGCTAGGGCAGACTCGGAGTGCGCCATCTTCGGGCTCTCCCACCCCTCCCTCCAGGCAGTCAGCCTCCGTGGAGGTCACTTTATCTGCTCAGCGCTCCAAGTGGGACAGACTCTGGGCATGGAAATAGCAAAGGGCACTGAATCTGGCACCTTTGCTGAATTGGGCGCCCAGAGTATGAGAAAGAGGGAGAGGGCCTCTGCCCACTGTAAGGATGGCAGTCCCGAGGTGTTCCCTAAGTTAAAGTGGATTCGGGACAACAGCAGAGATGATGGTGACTGACTGCCAGGCTCAAAGGCCCAGCAGCAGGTGGTCAAGTGAAAAGGGGACCTCTTTCCTCGTTACGGCCACCAGGACAAGACCCTCAGGCCCGTTATTCAAAGTCTGGGCTTTGTAGGACCCTGAGGAAACCACAGCCCTTGCAAGATGGCGGCAACACTTTCAAGGTGGTTTCCTTTGCTCCTTAACAAGCTCTGTGCCAGTCCAGGTCCATGGGCGGGCAGCCAGGCAGGCCCATCAGTTTCATGGGTAGCCAGAGAGAATGAGCCGTGCCCTGGGGCCATGTGGAAGTCACCCCTGGGAGGACGTGGGTGGGCAGACTGCAGGTGAGGGGGCAGGGGGTAGGAGATGAGCGCAGCAGCCAAAAATGAAGGGAATTAGGGAGCCAGAGCCAGTTTGAAATTGGAGCTGAGATGGTCAGTTTTGTGTTTTAGACAGATTATCCTGGGGCAGAGGGTGAGGCGAGGGCATGACAAGGGGCAAAAATGAAGCCAGGGACCAGAAAGCTTCCATAAGCCTGGCTGAGTGGTGATGACCAGAGCCGGGACAGAGAAAGAGCAGGGGAGCGGTGAGGGAGGGGGGATCATCTGTAGACTGACTGGGAGCCAGGACTAGAGAAGGATGGTTGGGGCGTCTCCAACCTGATGTTGGAGGACAGTCGGGCCCATGCTGGGTGTACCAGGACCTCTCCACCTGAGATGAGCTGTGGAAAAGATGGAATCCAATGCCCACTCCCGGAGAGGAGAATGAAGTACCTTGCTGTCTACAGTGAGAGGCTCCCGGTCGCTAGTCTGGGAACACACCATCCAATTTTTGCGGTCAGATCTCCCATCTCTCCCTCAGGTAAGAGATGGGGTTAAATGTCCCCTCCACGAGCCACAGAGGGACACCTTTGACCACCCTAAGTCTCCAAGGTGAGGACTCACACTGGAGAGTTGACCACTGTCACTGATATGCTCTCCTGGGAGGAGCCCTCCACCCGGAGGGATGTCCATGGTGCAGCTAGGTCCTATCCCCTGCCATTGACCAAGGGTGACCTGGTCCTAGAGGGCTCCAGGGTAAAGCAAAGGTGCAGGATCCCCAGGGGAGAGTGCCCAGACCTCACCCCATGGAGTGGGGTTCCCCTCCTGAGCGGCTCACTGGCCGGGCCAAGAAGTTGGAAGAGGCTCTGTGGGCCACCTTCAGACATGAAACTGAACTTGCTCCAAGGACACCATTGCCATGGAAATCCAGGTACCTGTGCCAGCAGGGTGCCCACACCTGTGCCAGCCCCATCACAATGGAAAGCCAGGTGTTTTAGGCCCTGAAAGTGTACATTTCCTTCAGAAATATAATTTATGTACCAGCAATGGTTCAAATGAATACTTTCCTCTAGTGGTTTGTCCTCGCTCAGCCAAGTTTGAGCCCCTTTGGGTAGAAGTAAAATTCCTAGAGGAGTCCTTATATGCTTGGTATTAAGGGGCCACAAAGCTGTGCATTAATGTAAATTTTGAGTAATGAATTTCAACCGCTTTCCCAAAACCTGTTAAGAAAGGAAAAGAGATGCATGTGGGCAATTTACCATTTTTCAGGTAGGAAGTTTTCTGCATTGTCCTCCCAAAATGCCAGGGGTTTATAATCTCTGTGTCCTACACCCCTGGACTGTCTGGAGAAGCCCAGGGACCCTTAGTCAGAATAATGTTTTAAAACTGGTGAAGTGGGCCTCCCTGGTGGCACAAGCGGTTAAGACACAACCCATGAAGCTGCCCACAGCCTTTGCAGTTCGAATTCAATCCCCGACCAGGGAGATACTCACATGGCGCAGCAGATCTCTCCTGACTTGCCTGCTGCTCCCCTCAGCAGTGTACTTCGGTCTATCTGCCTGTTCTGTTCCCCACTCTGTCTCTGGTGAATCCTCTCACCCCCCACACCTCTGGTCTGTACCCCAGCTCTTGAATGCATAAATGGATAAATCTTTAAAAAAATAAAATAAAACTGGTGAAGTGATGGGCCTCCCTGGTGGTGCAGGGGTTAAGTCTCAGTGCTATGAAACTATTGCCAGCCACTGAGGCATGAGTTTGATCCTCAGCCAGGGAGCTGACCCACACGGCACAGCAGACCTCTCCTGTCTCTCCCATTGCTCCCCTCAGCAGTGTATTTGAGTAGATCCACCTGTTCTGCTCCCCACTCTGTCTCTGGTGAATCCTTTCACCACTTGTACCTCTGCCCTACACCCCAGTTCTTGTATGCATAAATAAATCTTTAAAATAAGAAAATAATAAAACTGGTGAAGTGAAATATATAGACTTGCACAGGAAAGCAATTATCCTGAAAGTAAAACTATCAAATACAATCAAAAAGAGTAATCAAAATATTTTTTAATTTGTGATATGTTAATAATATACATGCTTCTTTTTTAACACTACATCACAAACTTTAGCAGTGCCTCTGATAACTACAGTAATTTCAAAGTATGATGAGTATAAATGTTATCTCAAAGTTTCTGCAGCAACCAAGATGTGAAAATATCCCTGATTACTACCAGTAGTACACTTAAAGACAGTTAAAGTGGCAAATGTTATGAGAACATAAATAAAATTCCAGAAGAGGAGCTATTTTCAAAAAGAGCAAAGCTCATTTTGAACTGTGAACTGTGGAGCTGCTTTGAGCAGCTAAATACACATGTAATCAGAGTCCCCACTCGAAGAGAGAGAGAAGGGAGCCAAAAAAACTGAAGAAATAATGGTGAAAGTTTTCCAGATTTGATGCAAACTGTAAACCAATCAATCCAAGAAACTCAACAAATACTAAATGCAAGAAATGTGAAGGAAATTATATCAAGACCCATCTTAATCAAATTGCATCATCATTGATAAAAAGAAACACTTTTTATGCACTTCAAAGAAAAGAAACATTAGGTACACAGGAGCAAAAATGAGGTGGAAACAACCCAAGCATCCTTCAGTAGAGAAATGAATAAGCAAGATGTGGTCCATACACGCAGTGGAATAGAAGCCAGAAAAAAAATGAATAAAATGCTGACACATGCCACAACAAAAATGAACCTGGAAACATGCTAAGTGAAATAAGGCAGACACAAACGGACAAATGGGAATAAATGTGGTAAATTCATAGAGATAGAAAGTAGGGTGCTGGGGGTGGCGAGAAATGAAAAGTTGTTGTTTAATGGCCCACAGTTTATATTTGGGATGATGAAAAAGTTTGGGCTATAATTATCTTTGATGGGTATGCAACATTGTGAACACACTTAATGACACTGCCTGTTCACTTACAAATGGTTAAGGTGATAAATATTATGTATATTTTACACAGTTTTTAAAAGAGACAAATTAAAAACTCTCCGATGTGCAAAAGCTGGAAGAATTCTTCACCTGCAATTCTACACCACACAAAATGGTAAAGAATGCTGCAAGCAGAAGGAAAATGCTAGCTGGAGACCTGGATCTACCTAAAGGAATGAAGGCCACCAAAAAAGGTAGTTATGTAAATAGAAACATTTTTTTTCTTACTCTAAGCTCTTTAAAAGATAATCAAATGTTCAAAGCAAATATAATACCACATTGGGGAGGTTGTAACATGGAGAAGTAAAATGTATGAAAATAGGGCCTCCCCGGTGGCGCAGCGGTTGAGCGCTGGGTTGCGAAGCTGCCCGCGGCCTCTGCGGCGCC